GGCTCCCCCATTACTAAATCTATTTGAACGTAAGTCATACTGAGTCAGACCTTAGTTCATCAGGCATGCATTGTCTATTTGGCCGAGCGGTAGCTCTCCAGGGTTTCTCCTGTTCCCTGGCCCTTTTGACTGGAGCTACCAAGATAACTGGCAAGCAAGAAGCATCAGCAACAGAATGTCAATGAGCAGTGTTTATTCCTGTGACTAAAACGGAAACTCAGTTTGGCCAGGGAAAACCTCAGAGAAAACCTAGGGGTCGAACAAGCCAGAAAACAGCATTCTGTAATATAAGAAGCCCTGTATTTTGAGAACGTTCTGCACATCTTGGCTCTAAAATTGTGCTGTTTAAGGAAGCTTCATGTTGGGCTCCCCAGAAAACTCTGCCACATTTATTTTATTTTGCAATATCCTGGGTGACCTGCTTTATTCTGCACACCCATGATACCCATATTATAGTACCAGTGTTTAAAGAATGCTCCTTAGGCATATGCAATGTGTCATCCTTTGAGCAATTAACAAGGCTTAATCACCTGTTATCAGATGATGAACAATATGCTTCAATGAACACCATTACTATGAATGATTATGTAATCATGATGTTATGAAATCCTATTATGGTTGCCTTCCAGCTTCTATATATTTATGATTATTTCCTCATAAAGTAAGAGAAAACAAGTAGCTTGTACAATTTGCTTCCTTAGGGCCTGATGACTGGTATGCTACAATCAAGAATTCTAGAAACATTTACTTCAAATTGTATACATCATAACCATCTTTCAAATATTCTTTTCCTTTAGGGCTCATTAAACCTGTATATTTTTCAGTATTGTAGAAAATTTGCTGAATAGCACACACCTGTTCCCTCAAAACACCTTCATGCCAGCAAATTCATTAAATCTCGTACCAAAACAAGAATTCTTTCATTCAGCCAAAGAGGAATATACCATCTGGTACACACCAATAACGGGTAAACAAAGTGATAAAATAGATGATATACTTTTGAATAAATACCGATGGATGATACATCACTTAGACCTATTGCCTTCAAATGCTTAAAAAAATGTTTCTCATCATGATCTAATAGGAGTGATTCTGTAAAATCCAGCATAGATAAAACCTTTTGCTGACATGTAGCAGATCAAGCAACAAATGTACTGTTGTGATTCATTCATTGTGCAGGATCTTGAGCTACTCCCTCAAAATTTTACTTCACAAAATTATGTCTTTTCAGTGCTCAGACTAAAATAATTGCTGGGAAAGGGATTCTTTCTAAGCAAGGGGGCATTGTGAGTTGTGCTGAAATCTTAGTCCTAGGTTGTTAGGGAGAGACATATATGTGGTCAGTGATCAAAGTTGTTTAAAATGTGTTTGTGGTAGCTGTGCATAGAATCCAATTTTAAAAGGAGAAATGATTCACTGATTCTGCCATCAGCTACAGATTCATAGAATAATAGGGTCAGAAGGGGCCAAGTAGGCCATTGGGTCCAACCCTGGCTGGTACAGGACGCCAGCTTATACCATCCCACTTAGATGACTGTCCAGGTTTGCCTTGAATGTCTCTAGTGCGGGAAAGCCCCCCACCTCTCTTGGCAAGTGGTTCCACTGTTGCATTGTTCTGACAGTTTGAAGTTTTTTCTGGTGTCTAGCCTGAATCTGGTGTGAATTTAATCTGTAACTTAAATTCATTGTTCCATGTCCTACACTCCTACATGTGTGTGTAAATACAAATGCAATGTGTGTATAATGGATAGCAAAAGTGATGCCAAGCTGTACAGCTTTCACTCACCTTTCACATATATTTTCCCATAAACTTTTAAAGAGCTGCTTTCATGTTCTTTTCCACGTTTTGCAAGTGGCTCTCCTCCCATTGTGAGATGCAAGCATAGAAGTGCAATGCAGTCCTTTAAAATGGAAGAAATGCATGTCCTAATTGCCAGCAATACCACCCTGCAACAATTTCCTACTCTATCACAAGGTCTTTAAAAAAAAGAAACTAAAAATTAAAAGCCACTTCTTTTGTTGAATGATGTTTGCAATATGCTAGGTTGATCAGGGGACTACATGAGGGTTAACGAGTTCTTAAAAGGATGTCTGGATGATCCTAAAATAGATGAGCCACATTTATTTTCTAATACAAATACCCTGTGTTAGGTAAGTTTTAAAAATTAGAACAACAGTGCCATGTGGGCAAATTAGGGCATTCATGAATGATCAGTTTACATGCTGTTCAGAAACATCCTGGTAGATTCATTAGAGGTCTTGCAACAAAAGAAGCTATACGGAAAAAATAGGAACTTGTGGTATGGTAAACCTTCATGCTTTGTGTATTTTCTATTTTTTTCTAGCATATATGGTAGCTTTTCCTTTTATTATATTTGTACAATTAATCAGCAGGAGGCATGCTATTAGCATTAAGAACTATATAAATTAAAGGATGTGATTTGAAAGATTCTAACACTAGCAAGCTGCATGTGTTTATACCCTTTTTCCTTGAAAGAATATTCCAATAGAAAGTTTTAAAAGCTACGCAGAGATTCATTTAGACTTGGTTAGTGTGAGCTGGGACAGCTTCAGTTTCAACTGTCTGCTAATGCATGAAATTGTCGGTTTACTATTCCTGGACCTTCTCTTTTGTGCCACAGTTTGACCAGCAGTAGTTCATTAGTCCATGAGGCCAGGAGTATTTTTTTACTGCTGTTTCCTGTAGGATGCTGGGAAGAGAACGAACAATTGGAGAGTAGAATGGGACTGCTTCTGTCTTCCTGAACAGATACTGCTGGGTCATTGCAAAGGTCCATGGCTGGATTCTCCAACATGATGTCTGCCAGCACCAAGGTGCCTGTGACTACCTTTCTTGGCACCCACCAGGTTCCCTATTCCTCCTGATTTTTATTTTATTTTGAAAAAGCTTTTAAATTTAAAAAGAAAAAAAAAAACTGGGAGTTGGGCATGCTACAAAATTATGTGCTGGTCTCCAGCCCCATCTCTGTTTTCCAAGAACACTTCTGGGCCACATGTGAGAGCTACTTAATGGCTCTGTAACACTGGAGCATTAGCTTACAGACCAGATACCATTACAACATGATTTCATGTGCTGGTGAAGACTGGAGTTTCATCAAGGCTGCTCTTCAGCCAGAAGCACTGTAGGACATGGAGTGTTTTCAGTGAGATGGCACCTAGCACTACTAATCACAAGACTCTGTGGAGTTATTACACCTTTTCCCTCTGCAGTGGATTGTTTGCAGAGGGAAAAAGATGGAAGAAACAGCCAGAAAAACACAAGAAGTTTACAACTGAAACCAATTACATTTTAACCCACCTGTAAAATTCAGCCAATGAGAGTGGTAGTTGCACAGTAAAAGTAACTAGTGACTCTGTTAAAGTAAATGAGAGCAATTGGACATTGAACCAATAATATTAAAAGGCTGGATTTAACCCTCTATGAATACATTCTGTGAAACCTATTTTGTTCCACAGGCTTCCCTAAATTGTCCGGTTCTGGGGGGTAACCAAGATCTTTTGATGGGATTCTGTGGTATTTCAGGCTTCAGATTTTGGTACTGTGAAAGTTCAGGATAAGGAGTTCTGTAGCCATGTGTGACTCAAATCAGTGCAGGATTTCTATTGCATGAAGTTTTATAGAAATCTGTTTTGCAACCCTGTGGCCCCTTTGTTTGTTTTCTTGGAGGGTAAGCCTCATCATTTTTCCAAAAGATTTATGTAGTACTACAGTTTTGCCTTTTCAAATAATGCAATATTTTGAAACTCTGTGAAATCCGTTGAAAATACAAGCTATGTTTTTTGGTGTCTGATCAAACTAAGGAGGCCACAGATGGTAGCTGGATCTCCCTAGAGTATTCTATTGTAGATAACAATACTTTTTAATGAAATATGGGGTTAAGTCAGGTTCATGCCACCTTACCATAATGTTTTTTGTTTGGCTCAGTGCTGGTTCCAGGCACTGGGGGCCCTTGAACACACCGCTGCAGGGCCTCCTCCCTCAGTGGACCCACTAATTCCTCACCACCAGGGACAGCATCAGTGCTTGCCATGTCTGGGAAGCTGTCAGAGCTCAGAAGTGCTGGTCTAATGGCTCTAACTGCTATATTATATCCCCCCTGTACTCCCAAGAAAGTATTGCTCCAGAGGGCAAACGAAAATTAAAATGTGCTTTGCAATGGTGGAAAGGGCCTACTGGAAGTCCCCTTCAGATCTGGCCCTGATCACCACCATTGTTGCATGTGATGGCTAATTCTTCTCTGATCATTGGCTGCTCATCCTCACCTTCACCAAGATTTGCTTGCTCCCTCATGTGCTCTGGGGCAGAGGGAAGAGAAGTGAGTAAGCAGATGGCAACGCTGAGGAGAATCTGCCCCAGGAGATCTGGTGCAGCTTTTCACTGTAGGCCTCCTGCAAGTTCATAAGGTTCACCAGATGTCTGGCTATGCTAATCTGGGGCACTGTCCCAGATTTGTTCCTTGGTGAGGTGGAATCCTAGAGGCCAGAGGTCCACAGAGAACCTGCTCTTATGCATACTTCAGAGCTGTTGTTACCCGTTGTCTTATGACTTTTCTGGAATGCTAGGCTTGCTGAATTCAAACAATTATGCAATTCCGTTAAAAATGCAATGAGATAATAGAGTAAAAATTTGATGCAAAGCAAGTGCTTTCAGAATGGTAAAACAAGAACGCAGCGCACCATGACGTTGCAGTTCTAGACGAACTGGTGGCTTTTGGGTGCCTGCATCATGCTGCCCTTAACGAGGAGGACATGATGCACAGAGTTCGCTTTTTTCTCTTCCGCATTCGCCCAACTACCTACAAGCAACTAACAGCCTTGGAACATGCGTGCGAGCATACTTTGCTATCATCTCCATTCAGCTTTTTGCTTTGTTTTTAACCGGTTTTGCACTAATATCAGACGGCAGGCACGGGGTTAAAACTTGCCCCGCCTCCTCCCCGATCACGTGCCTTCCGTAGCACTTTTAGGTGCTCAGCTGATCGTGCTCAGTCACAAGGTTTTATTACTCAGTCATTTTCTTAATATCAGAGGCTGCAAGTAGAAACAGAGCAGTGCTCGATCCTCATCTGACTTGCTCTCTTGCTGCAGCCATGGGGCTCCGCTGTTTACTCCTTCTTGCTTCGCTTGTAGCCGCTTGTTCGTCGCTGATCAGGTGAGGATCGGCTTAGAGTTAGGCATTATTTTGCAGAGGAGGCCATTAGAAAGCCTTACAATCAGAGACTTTAAAAGCATCATATTAGCCTTGCACAAGGAGTGGTCTTGTTGTCGCGCTTGTTTAGAAAACAGTAAGCCTGATCTCTGTTGGATTCTTGTCCGGTTTGGAAAGAGTTCGAATTTCTAGGGATTTGTCAATTTAGTTCTCTTATCCCTTCAGTCAGGGCTCACACCAATGCATGTTTACTGAAAGAGCGCTTATGGCTCCCACCATCCCTCACCCAGCCATACCGGCTGGGGAATGCTGGGAATTGTAGGACTTTTCCCAGTCTAAACATGCCTAGGATTGCGTCCAGAGTATCCTCGCTTTTGCGCTTCTAAATCCGGATAATTACCTCCTCGATTGGACACATGCTCTGGGAGTGAACAAAGGTCCTTTCTTTCTCTGAAGCCTGAAACGAGAAGAATGAGATTAAAACGAAGCGGGAGGCAGTAGGGAAGGCGCCCGCTTCCCCAGCGTTTGCTTCACTTGGAACATACACGTCTATAAGGGTCCCGACTGGCCTCTTTCTATACGTCTCGTGTATAGAGCAGGTGCAGAGGGCATGATTTGGATCGGAACCCTAGCTTGGTGGCAAGGAAGGGATAGGGTGAGCTTTTACGATCTGGATCGGGACCTCTGTGCCAATTCTAACGTAAACATTCAGAGAGGGAAAACGTAGTTGCTCCACGTGGGATTAAGTAATGTCTAGGATATATTTAGTTTTGAGAAATCTACACGAAGTTTAGTAGGGCTCCCTGTTAAGCGGATAAGCCTGCCGTTTAATTTGACCAATTAAAATGCATGTGGTGTTCTTGTTTGCCTAAATGTTCTTACCCTACCTTTTGTATTGCAGCTTTCACTGAAACACTGGTGTAATCTTTACACCTATTGAAAGTGATGGAGCTAATTTCTAGGGTCCATTTGGCAGGGTTTAGGGCTGGAGGGGGATTTTCACAGGCATATGGTTTAGGATTGCAGGAAAAACCAAGGTGTGAGAGTTTGGCTGTGACAGCAACTTACTGCCTGGAATGGGGAGGTTTCTGAGAAGCTGCCTTTGACAGCCCAGTCCTGTTCAGGTTTACTCAAAAGCCCTGCCTTCCTCAAGGAGGTTTACTCCTAAGTGGGCAAAGGAATGAGAGAGGCCTCTGGCTCTTCAAGATTGTATCTTAAGATGGGATGGGGAACTGGAGGGATAATGTACTGAAGATAATAATTCATTGTTAAGGGGGCAAGATAAGTTGTTTATAATGAAATGGCTTCATTGCAACAATGGATAAGTAAAAAGTGGAATCTCTTCTTAAAGACAAATGTCTAGGTGCGATGACTGCACAATATGTGCCCTTTGTTTCACGCCCACCCTATTCCAGTTTTCACAGACAATAACTGTTTGAGATGGATGGTATTGCATTAAAAGCTAGCACCATTGCAAGCAAAAGAGTTCGATGGCTGATGCAAAAGTGCCTCCTACATTCCTGGCAGACCTTGTGGCTTAGAATGCAATTCTGTGCATGCTCAGGCAGAACAACTCCCTGCACCCACCTGTTGTAAGGCTTTTTTTTCCTCTAGAGGATTCTATTATGCTGAAGTTTATAATAGCATTAGTTAGGTGCAGAGAGGGATGAATTATTTTGGCGTTTTACCATACTCAGTTGTGTACATGTCTCTCTGTCTCCTGTCTCTGGATTTCTCTCTGCCTTTGAGTTCTCCATGCATTGCGGAGAGGTCTTGTGATGGGGAAGTCTGACATGATTGGCAACTGAGCACTTATTTGGCTGTGCCAAATATCCCATGAAGCCCAGAAATGCAAGCTGGCAGCTTAGCTTTTAGAGTGCCAATTTGATAGTTGTTCACAAGAACAGAAGTGACTGTGGCCTACTTGTATGCTAATGCTTCGGCATTTTGAAACATAAATGTAAGCAATCTTTGGAAGCAAGGGGACAGCTAGTAGGATGCCCACATTTTGCTGGCTGTGAGAACTGGGGTGTTCTCTCTCCATAATAGCTAGTGTTTTTAAATCAGTAATGGTTGCTACTACTTACTTCTAATTTAATTTCACTTTTTGAACATGCACATGATACATACTGACCATGAGGTTCCAGGGTAAAAGGTAAAGGGAAGAACTGCTTGTTGAACTAGTCACGTATACTTGCATTATATTTCGGTGTAGTTTTGAAGAAAGTAACTTTTACTGGAGCAGTGAAGATAAGCTAATTCATTCTATAGTTTGCGTAAGTATCAAACCTGTTGCTGATTAAAATCTCTTTTGATCTAATGAAGACACCACTTTGGTTCAGTATTTTTAATCAGCTAACTGATTTTTTAAACTAACTAAATGTCAATTTCTAGACCTGGTTGGGCAAAACAGATCGCACCCCTTTCTCCTGAGGCCTCTGGCGTGCATGGAGAGCTTACTGTTTCTAGTAGGCTCCAAACTGGAATTATCTCAAGGCATTTGAGATGCTGAGTACCTTCCACTTCCCAGGTCCTCTGTATGTCCTGGAAAATGAGACATGGGTGCAAGACAAAGTTGGTGCCAGCAAGTAATAGCTTGCCAGCAAGGTCAACCAAAGGTTGCAAACTTTTTCTATAGCTATTGCCATCTCAAGGAATTATGAGCTCATGCTGGACTTCCAAAGAAACAAAATAGTGGAGCAGAGATGGAGAGCACGTGGCCCTGAAGGTGTTGTTGGACTGGAGCGCTTTTCAGCCCTTTCCATTGACCATGCTAGCTAGGACTGATGCAATTTACGATCTAGTAATATAGAGAGAACCACTTGTTCCCCACTCCTGCAGTTAGGCCTTACATGGTGGCTCTTTAGTAATATTTAATGCTTTAACCCTATCCACTTTTTGCTGGGTGTAGGTCCCACTGAACCCAGCAAGGCTTGATTCTGAATTAATATTATATTTATTTATTAAAACATTTCTATGCCATCCCTTGCCAAAGCCTCGGGGCGGCTCACAGCACAGAATAAAATACAATAAAATACAAAAATAACAATATAAAATAAATAACAATATAAAAGAAGTCGCCCTGGCCACAAGCTAGATAGCCTACAGTTTCCAGCTTTGTTTGAGCTGCTTTAATTGGAACTGTGTGTTAGCATCTCAGAAGTGCAAGTATCTCTCAATAAAAAATCTTTCATTTCCTGCTTCTGATATCAGAAATTCAGCATGACTAACTGTGACTTTTGAGTGATGCTGTTGTTCCAGAGCTGTTGTCTGACCTTTCCAGACAAGAGCTCTTGGGCACAAAAATCAATGTAGTATGCTAGAGTTGGTGCTATATTCTGCCCTGCCATGAACGTGCTAGGTGATTTTGTCCCTATCTAGTTACAGAAGCAAAGAAGGTAAAGATAGTTACCATCTGGTTGTGTGATTGCTAACAAGGCAGGATGATGGGCTCCACTGCTATGGAAAAAGAACTATAAGCATGATGATAGGCATGGTTAGCCGAAGGCGACTGCTTTTTGTGCAATGGAATGGAACAGTCTCAAGTAATTTTTTTTTGTGTGGTTAAAGGAACTTTTTACTGTAAAGCTGTTTGATATATAGAGATGAAAGATGCCTTCAAAAGTATTTGGGTGTAATTCTATGCCTGATCAGAGAGAGAACAGTTCTACAGCTCCCAGCATTCAACAGCAGTCTCACTGAGAGTTGTAGGTCTTTTTTTTCTATCTAAACCTGTATCCTTATAATTATAGATGTGAGAATAGCAGCTTCCATAGCTTGGCCTTCCAGAAGATGCAAGATAATAATAATGCTAATTGAAACTTCCAGCATTGCATCCAGGAGGGAGGTTCCCCTAAAATGGTGTCAAATTCCCTGCAGGGGTAAACTGGCAAGGATCCATTAACTTCACAGAAGCCATGCCAATAAAACCCAAATGCAGCTTGTGGCTCCCACAAAACCTGTTGTGCACTTGTTATTTTGTTTCAGGCCAAAAGGAAAAGATGCTGTCTTTGCTGCCAAGACACCTGCCTTCCTTCTGAACCTCTCCAGAGAATCTCTTACGGAATTAACACTAAAGTATTGTCAGTGATGGAGCAGGTCCTTCATTTGTTGCTTAGGCCTTGTTTTGACTCCTCTTGATAGAGTGGCGAGAGAGAATGGGTCAAGGAAGCTCTTTGATTCAGCTAATATGTGTTATTTGTTTTATTTTTAAAAAACCATTTCTCTTGGACAGGATCCCATTGAAGAAATTCCCCTCCATGCGCAGCATCTACAATGAATATGGAACTGATATCCAAGACCTGATTGAGTTGGGGGAAATGTTGAAATACAAGTTTGGGGGCCCAGGAGCAGCTACACCTACCCCAGAGTCCTTGAAGAACTACATGGATGTAAGTTTTGGATCTGATTGTTCCAACTGTAACAGCTCTTTTTTTCTTTTTCTTTTTTGCAGGGGAGAGATCAATATGAGTGTTTTATGTACTTATCTAAAATATTGATATATCATTCTTAATCCATATAGGATCTCAAGACTGTTTACATAAAGACAGGAAAACAACAATAAAATCTGCAACAGCACTCAGAATACAATATACAGTATATAAAATATATAATAAACTCATTTAAGCTATTAAAATACTGTGTAAATAAAAAGGTTTTAGCCTGGCGCCAAAATGAATAAAGGGTCAGCATCAGGCATTCCTCTGGGGAGCAGATTCCACAATCAGGGCACTGCCACTGAAAAGGCCCTTCCCTGGTAGCCACTCTTCTAGCCTCTTTCAAGCAGGGCTCCCAGACTAGTGTTCAGTTTAGATAAAAGGCAAGTGAGGGTAGACATGAAAGAGGAGTGCAAAATCATGCATGGTGTGGAGAAAGGGGATAGGGGAGGCTTTTTCTCTCTCATAATACAAGAACCCTGCGTGCTGATCTCATGAACCTGGTTAGTTGAACATTCAGGACATATAAAAAGAACTTCTTCACAGAGTGCATAACTAAGCTATGGACTTCACTACCACAAGATGTGATGGCCACTAATTTGGATGACTTTCAAAGGGGATTGGACAAATTTGTAATGGATAAGGTTATTCTGATGGCAAGATGCTATCTCCCGGACCAGAGGAAGCATGCTTATCTATCCCAGTTGCTGGGGAAGGAATATAAGAGCACCTGGGTGGGAGGGTGCTATTGCACTTATGGCTTGCTTGTGGGCTTCCATGGGCAGCTGGTTAGCCATTGTGTGAACAGAACACTGGATTAAATGGACCTCAGTCTGATCCAGCCTGACTCTTATGTGATAACCTGGAGCAGTGCCCTTATCCTTGCTACTGCATATTTACACACACATTGACGTGATCAACTCTCTGTGAAATCAGCCAACAATGTATGTTTTGTTCTTTTGCTGCATTTGCACCTGCTCAGCTTCATTCCTTTGGCTACACTTGACATGTGGTCAATTGGCACTGTTGCCTCCAAGTGCTGACTTGCATCACCTCTGTGTGAAATCTCCTGCCCGTGAAGCACTACAGTCTTGGCACATGGCTTCCCTTCTGCAGGAGCCACATGTGCATGGGAGATGAGATGTCCTCAGGGTGAAGGTTGCACACTTTATGCAAAGGCAACTGCTGAAATAAATGGGAATGTGTAGGAGGGGTATGAAGAAGCCCATGAAGCTTGGCATGATAGATGCAGGGAATAATTCCTGTGCTCTTGAGGGCTTGATATTCCAAGATCAGTACTGTGTTGCTCAACAAGATGCTCACACTGAAAGGGAACCACTACAGTAAACAACCTTAGATTTGACCATGACGCAATTATGCTCTATTGCAGAAGTGTGCAGAAGGTAGATTTCCAGATGTTTTGGACTTCAATGTTCAGAAGCCCCTAACGGCATGATCAGCTGCCATTTGGAGGAAGTCTAAAACATCTGGAGATTTGCTAGATCAAATCTAAGGCTAGCAGTTCCTGATCTGGAGTTGTTTTTGTGGCAATCCCACTGATTTCGCTTTAATTTCTGTTGGAAAGCCCTTGCCTCCCTCTCCCTGTATTATTTCTTGCACAGTTTAAATAATCAGGAAAGAACAGGGTTATAATCTGCAAAAACTAAATCCAGTTAGCAAAGATTCACAGTACTTGGGGGTCTAGCTTTCTTCCCCAGTGAAGTCTTGACTGCTCATTAGTGCTGAGTTATCTATCATACTTGTCAGTGAGCTCTATTTGCTTTGGAAACTACAAAGAAAATGGCATTATGAGCCTCTGAAAAATGGCCACTGTAACTTGAAATTAAAAAATTATGCAGCCATGGCAAACTGTAGGCATGCTCTCTCATATTGAATATTCTCTTATTGAGGTGGCTATAAATGACAGCACTTCTTTGTTGCTGACTGAGCAATGTTATGACACAATATTGCCTAGCAAGGCAACAGTTAAACAAATCCTAATTGGTGCGATCATACCTTTTTATTAGGAGTAGCCAGAGCTGGAATGCAGTATGCATGCTTTTGAGTCATACAGCAGTCCTCAAGCTGGGCTCTTAAAGAGGAAAAGATGTATGCATTTTGAGTGTAGCTAAGGACTAGCTTCCCTTTATTCACAACCTTCCATAATTAGGTTAAGTGCCTTATCACTAGGGCCTTCTGAGACAAGTCATTAATAGGACAACGGTCCTTTTCTAGATTTTAAAATGCAGTTCTAGCCTTAGGATCCTCAGAGCTTGTAGGTAAATGTTGAATAGTGCCTTAAACTCTGAAGGCTGTAGACTATTGAACATCTAAACAGGTCTGGTCATACTTTGGGCCCTCCAGAACTTGTTGCGTTACAATTACTGTCTTTCCTTATGACTGACCATGCTTGCTGGGGCTGATGGGTGTCTTCTGAAACACTTGGAGGATACCAGGTTGCAGAAAGGTAATCTAAGTAAACAGGAGAATAGATAAAGCAGTCCTTAGCAGAGGTGGACAGCTTGTAGGCCAAAGCATCTAGAAGCTCAGGAGTTCCCTAACCCTCCTCTTCTGGATCAAGGTTATAGAATTGGAAAGAGGGCAACTTCTAGTCCCTCCCGCTGCTTAATGTAGGAGGGCTGAAGAACTCCAGTGTGGGAGCACATTTCCCTACCCCACCCAGTAGTTGACTCCATTGTTAAGCAGCCCTTAGATGACATCATTCTGGAGCTCTTCTAGCAAGCCTGTTCTGAGTGCAAAACTTCTACATTTTATGCACTAGTAAAAATCAGAGACAAACCATGACTATTGTACTCTGTGAGATCCAAGAGATGCTTTTGGGTATTTTTTTTTTACTCTCTAATGAAAGAGTCAGTAAAAAATCCAAAGCATAAGGCTTAGCTTAATAAATGGTTTTTATAATCTTCCAGGATGCAGGTCTGTGTGTTACAAATCAAACAGAGGCCAGGGTGGACTACCTTGATTCAGCCCAAGGGCCAAATCCCATTTCAGAGGATTGAAGGGCTGCTTTCCTGTGGAGGGCAGGGCCGAAGGCAAAGGGAGTGGGGTCAAAGCACCAGCATGCTTTAATTTAAGGCTTCGTGACTGGCAGTAGGAGCTGTAGGGCAGACATGTCACCCTTTCGGGAAGTGGAGCAGGGGGACTGCACAAACAGCAAAGCATCACATGGTAGGCATTTGGGGAGAAGAAGTAGGCCATGGAAAAGTGGGGGACCACAGGCAGGCTGAACTGAGGCCACAGGGCTGAGGTTTCCCACCGTCCAATTTGTTTTAACATGCGATTCCTTCTCTTTCAAATGACTGAGTCTATGACTGCAACACAGAGCGGTTAAACTCTTTCCCCAAGCCCTGCCAAACTGTTATGGTCTCCTCTTCGTAGGACTGAAAAGAGAGCTTACAAACACCTGCAAGTTTTGTGTTATTGCTATAGTTTTGCTCTTGGCAAAGGCTGGTGACTTTAGGCGTGCTTGCTGTGTAATTACAGTATAATGAATGTGTTCCATGCCTAGCAAATCTGAATCTAGAACCCTGCAGTTCCCACAGGCTGCAATGCAAAGCACGCTTTCTTGAAAGCAATTTCCGTTGGAGTCAGCAAGATTTACTTAGAGGAAACAGCCCTTATAGAAGCGGTAGCAATGCTGAGAGGGAAAATGCTGTGTCATGCCCCCTTCCCTTGGATCTCATGACTTCTGATGCTGCTGCTGCTGATGAGGAGAGACCATGTGCTACAGCAGCTCTCATGGTGTCAGAAAGAACCCTAAATATATATTGCTGAATCTCTATATTTTTGCTTGATCTGGAGTTCCTTAGTGCTGACATTGGTTCTGTTTTGCTTTTTTAAGCATGTATGTTCAACACCATTTGCTCTTATCCTTAAATGGTTGTTGGTAAAAGTGTTTGATTTCCAACTTCTGCACATGACAGGAAAAAGGTTGAGATAATGCTGCATAATCCCGGCAAAGAATTGGTAGCATGATGCTAAGCTCCACACTGCTACAGATTCCATAGTGCGTGCAATACTACCAGCCAAAGGAGATCAAAAGATGCTTCCCCCTTCCTACTGTAAAATACAAAATGCTTCATTGGAACCAGTGCTCCTTCAGTCTTTTAACGTTCGGGCAGCCAGCTCTTTGGTGGGTGAGCAGAAGAGATTCTTCATGTACAATCCATTATGCACACTCGTTGCTCGAGAATGTAAAGCAGATTAGGCAACAAGCACTGGAGAGAAAGAAATAAAAGCAAATGCACTTTCCTCCTTCTCTTGGCACACACAACTCTTGAGTCATTCCTGGTTCTCAGTGATTGTGTCTGCCATGGAGTTCAGCTAACATTTTCAGAAGCTAATGGGAAATTTCTCCATTGTGCTCAAGCTATTAATTGAGACTCTGGAAATCAAGTCTCAGTGCTAAGAGCGAAACACATTGTACTCTGTACCCCTTCTTTCTATGAGAGACATCTGCATTTTACCTACTGTCTCTGCTAATCTGGCTGGTATCATTTGATGCATGAAGATGGTGATGCTTGAATTGTTTTCTCTGCTCAGGACTTTCCCTGCTCTCATGTACATTTTCCAGAACGTTTAAATTACTATTTAATGTTTTCCCATCTCTGTACAAGGTGTATGCATTTCTTGCTTTCTGTATCCATTAGTTTGGCAACAGACCAGGGTTAAATAACTTGGTACCTTCTAGATCCTTAAGACTAGGACTTCTATTGGCCCCTACCAGTACCACCATTTTTAGCTTGATGCTCTTACAGTCACCAACTAAAAACACATTTCAACTTCTCAGATGGGGGAAAAACTGCACAAAAGCCAGGAAACAATCAAATGATTGGTGGTCTTGGAGGGAGGGGAAGGTCACATGGCCACCTAGGGATTTGCTCCTTGGGCCTGAAGCTTTTTATCTCTGGTTTAGGGAGAATGGCAATGAATGG